CAGACTGGCATTAGCGTTAGCAGTGGCACATGGTCATAAAATTTGGCATTTTGACATAACCACTGCATTCCTCAATGCAGAATTAGAGGAAGAAATTTACATGATTCAAGCACCAGGATATAAAAGTAAAAATCCTAACACGGTGTATTAAATTGAACAAAGCCATTTATGGGCTGAAGCAGTCAGCCAGGAATTGGAATATATGTCTAGATAACACATTAAAAGGTCGTGGGTTCAAGAGTTGCAAGGCTGATGGATGCATATACACTGGACAGTTAAAAGATGGGGATTGTCAACTATTAGCATTTGTGGATGGTCTTTGCTTCATTGCAAAGGATGTATCACAGGTAAACAAATTTGCTAATAAGTTGGAGAAGAAATTTGAAAAAAAAGAAAAGAAATTGAAAAAAAAATCTGACATAGCTTGTGTAGTTAGCATTCTAAGTTGTTTCACTGTTGCACTAACCCAATTGCGTTGGATAGGTATAAAAAGGAATTCTCATGTATTTGGAGGGAACTGTGAATGTGAGTCTTCAAATACAGGTATCTGAAGAATATTAAAGGTAATTGAATTTATGTCTATTCCAGTTATGAAGGGAGGAGTGTCAGAGTATATTCATGAACTGGAATAGAACTTAGTAACAAGGTCAGCCAATGAGAGCTGAATTGGGGGGTGTGAAACTTAAAGAGAGAATCTGGGCATGTTTTTTCTCTGTTTTGTGCTCAGCTATAAAGTGAAAGAGAAACTAACTTGCTTGCAAACTGAAACTAATATCTGTTCTGAGCTGCTGCTGCTTTTTATTTATTTTATTTATTTATTTATTTATTTGATTTGCCAATTGTTTACAAGATAATAAGTATAAATGTATACATAGTTGTGAATACATGAAATGGTTACATATAAGAAAAATAAAAGAATAAGAGAAACAATAGGACAGGGACGGTAGGCACGTTGGTGCGCTTATGCACGCCCCCTATTTTTATGCACGCCCCCTGTTTTTGCTTATGTTACGTTGAAAGAATCTACAAATGATATTGTAAACTTTACTCTTATTATGTTTATAAAGAAGTTAATGATCCTGATGAATCAGTCATCTGTGTGTTTTCTGGACTTTATGCTGCAAAGTCTAACAAGTTTGTATGTTGGAAGTTCCTAAAGGAATGCTGGGAAACTCTGTATTTTAAAGAACATTTGAGGTGCAGAATAGCCCTTCTCTGCCTGAGGCTGTAGAGACCTGGCACCAGTCAAAACACTGTTTGTGAAGCAACTGATTAGCTCTAGCAGGGTAAGCCACTAGTATATGAAAATAAAAGCAAACTCCACTCCTTTCTAATACTGATGATATTACCTAGTTTGGTAATGAAACATCTGCAAGAAAACCATCAAACTCAGAGAGCACCAAGGACCCCACAATTCAAACCTGAGCTACAAATATTCTCCTCTACAGGGGTGGGATTCAAAATTTTTAACAACTGGTTCTGTGGACGTGGTTTAGTTGGTGGGCGTGGCTTGGTGGTTATGTGACTGGGTGGACGTGGCTTAGTGGTCATGTTATTGGCTGGGCGTGGCCAACTCAATATCATCGAGGCATATATCTCCTTGCCTGGCCTCTCATGACTGTGGGGATGCTGCAACAGTCGTAAGTGTGAAAAATGGTCATGTCACTTTTTTCAGTGCCATTGTAATGGTCACTCCACACAAGCAAAGTAGCAGCAAAGGAGGGGGAAAAACTCCAGAGAAGTTCCTGAGACAGGAAGTCTAGTCCTGCCAAGAATGTAATAAAGGTTAAAGGTGAGGCAGTTTCTGTAAGCAACACCAGAATGTTTCCTTCCTGCCTTCCTTACAGGATTAGGCCAGTAATTTCTTCTAACAACTGGTTCTCCTAACTGCTTAGAATGTTAACAACCAGTTCTAGATAATAGGTGCAAACTGGTAGAATCCCACCCCTGCTCGTCTACTGATAAATATTTTTTGGTTAGAGGGACTCAGAGCCTGCCTTATATGAGATGGTTCCCAGTGGATTTCATTTTAAATTTTGATATGATTTCTGTAAATAAGGAATGTAGAATTATAATGGCTGAGTATTTGATCCTTTATACATAAAAAAAATACAAAGCTAAAGGATAAATAAATAAAAACAGATTTGAAAAAAGAAAAGGTTTAGGAAAGAAAAAGTGAAAGTGTAAGAAAAAGGAAAGAGAAGGAAAACCGAAAAAAATAATGACTTCCAACTTTCTTTGGTACATATCAAACTTTTACTCTAAGATTAACATTTGTCTACATCATTTCCATAATCCCATATCTAATCATCAAAGCTCAGATCAACTTTTAATTTCAGTTTCTTACAAAAAGTCCAGTAATGGTTCATATCACTTGAATCACTATTTGTTAAGGAAATCACAATTGCTTTATTTAATTGCACCAAACTCTAAATAAAACAGGAATGGAAAATCCTAAACTGTAGTGTAGACCATGCTTCTCCACTTCAGTAATTTTAAGGTGCATGGACTTCAATTCCCAGAATTCCCAAGGCAGCATGTAGTTCACCCATCTTAAACTTGCCAAGACTGAAAAACACTGATCTACAGAGATGGATTTTTCCATTTCTCTTTTACTGGTTCTTAGAATACTTTATTGGCCAAGTGATTGGACACACAAGGAATTTGTCTTGGTGTAAATACTCTCAGTATACATAAAGAAAAGATACATTAGTTAAGAATCAAGAATCATAACATACAACACTTAATGATAGTCATAGGCTGCAATCAACAATCAAATAATACTAGGAAACAGTAAATATAAATCGTAAGGATACAAGCAACAAAGTTACAGTCCTACAATCACAAGTGGGAGGGGATGGGTGATACGAAGATTAACAGTAATATGAGAAGTAATATGAGAAGATTAACAGTAATAGTAGTGCACACTTTGTAAACAGTTGAACAGTGTTGAGGGAATTATTTGTTTAGCAGAGTGATGGCTTTTGGGGAAAAAACTGTTCTTGAGTCTAGTTGTTCTGGTGTGCAGTGCTCTATAGTGTTATTTACTTATAAGCAATCATAATGCAAAATCCTCACTTCCACCCTATACCAGAGCAACCACAATTCCCTCACTAACCTGCTTTCCAGCTCCTGTGTGCAGGGCAACAAAAAAAGACCATGTGACTACCATTTAAAAAAAGGTTCAGTCAGACTTCCAACTTCTGATGGGACAAAAGATCTCCCGAAGTTGTAAAGTCTGACTGAAATGACTGATTAGTCTCCCAGATGATTGGGGCTGCTGTGCTGTTCCATTGCTGCCTCACGGCTCCCAGCCATGAAGCCTAGTAGGCCTCCCTGCAGCCCCCTGGGAGCAAGAATGAGATGAGGAGTGACTGGGCAGTGTGGGGTGGGGCCAGCCAGAATTTTTACAACTGGTTTGCCCGAACCGGCCCAACCTGGCTGAATCCCACTGCTGGACCTTTGTCAGATTCTAAAAATGTTAATTTAATTATTTCCTTATTGTTAAATTAAATGACCGCTCTTCTCACTTGAATATAACTCTGGGCTGCAGACACAGACACAAGAAACAATCGTAATCTTCCACCATTAAAACCAGTTTAAAAAACAAAAACTGTATGTTGTGGACCTTGCGAATCAAAGAATTTCAACTCTTAGGGCCTAGGAAGAGAGTCTTGTCTGCCATTGCCCTTATACTGTGGAATACTCTTCCCCAGAGTTAGGCAGGTCCCCACTGTCTTGGCCTTTCACAAAGGCTTAAAAACATGGCTCTGTGACCTTGGGACTGATCGGCATCATGAAAGCCCTTGCCCCCGCCTTTTAATCAATGTTTAATGCTGCCTGCCTCTTTTAAATTTCACATACTGTTTTTATGCTTTTAATATTTTATTGTACACTATCCTCTGTGAGGGAAATAGGCAGTTCTTAGACATGCCAAATAAATAAATATATCTAAAACTATATAATAGCAATATCAATGGCACTTAAACTTATATACTGCCTCATAGCACTGTACAGCCCTCTCTGAGTGGTTTACAGAGTCAGCATATTGCCCCCAACACTCTGGCTTCTCATTTTATTGACCTCAGAAGGATGGAAAGCTGAGTCAACTTCAAGCCTGTCAGGATCAGGGGTGGGATTCTACAAGTTCGCACCTATTCGCTAGAACTGGTTGGTAACATTCTAAGCAGTTCGGAGAACTGGTTGTTAGAAGAAATTACTGGCCTCATCCTGTAAGGAAGGCAGGAAGGAAACATTGTGGTGTTGCTTACAGAAACTGCCTCTCCATTAACCCTTATTATGTTCTTGGCAGGACTAAATTTCCTGTCTCTGGAACTTCACTGGATTTTTTCCCCTCCTTTGCTGGTGCTTTGCTTTTGTGGAGTGACCATTCAAAGTTACAATGGCACTGAAAAAAGTGACTTATGACCATTTTTCACACTTTCGACTGTTGCAGCATCCCCACAATCATGAGAGGCCAGGCGAGGAGATGTGTGCCTCAATGTGAGTGATATTGAGTTGGCCACGCCCAGCCAATAACATGACCACCAAGCCACGCCCACCAACTAAGCCATGCCCACAGAACCAGTTGTTAAAATAATTGAATCCCACCCCTGGTCAGGATCAAATAAAAAGGCAGAAGAGAGCACAGTGTAACTATATACACTATAACCATTTAATAGGCTCCACACATCCTTGGGATCCCTAAGCCAAGCCTTGCTTATCCAAGTTTTGAGAGCTGTCCAATAAGCTGGGAGATTGGGGATCAATTCACCTTTCCCTGTCCTATTCCTCCAAACTATTCAGCAGCAATAAGTAAAATTTAAATCATTAAATTTGTTATGGCTGCCCACTCCAGTAAACTCTAGCAAAAAGTGATTTGGATATTCAGAGAATACTTATTATGTTGAGCCCTCCCCAGCCAAAATGATAATTTGTACTCTGAGATCTAATGTAATAGGTGGTTGATTGGTTCACTCTATGGGATACATCCTCGCAAGCTCAGCTGAGGTCATATTAATTGTGATGGGATGGGAAAGAGGCATATTGTGTTATGAAACATTTTCTATTGATCTTGTCAACTACTTGACTGCATATTCACCTAGTGGGAATTTTGTTGATTTATAAATATAAAATATCTTTGGAAGAATGACTTTAGAAGCCTTGGCACTTAACACTGATATGTAAAATTATTAAGCTATGTGCTTAGAAAAACAAGGCTATGCTGAAATGTTCAGGAAAATAGTAGATATTTATAGTTTATTGGAAAAGAAAAACTATATCTGATGGCAGTGTATACGCAGATACATTGTTTTTTGAGTTCAAAGTGAGATATTTTCATATTGAAGGGAAGAAAATGTTAAGCCTTATGTATTTCCATTTTACAATTTAAATATTAAGTTTTTTCCTATGTGTATGTGAATTTATGTCAACAAAGCACTAACAATTGAGAAAACTGAAGAAGATCACTGCATTTTGATATCATTGTGGTATGAAATTGCCGCTTATGAATCTAATGGAAAATATGAATACACTGATTCCATTTTGGAAACAAGACAATTGTCTCTACAATTGAGGGTGAAATTCTGATATCACTAGCATATGGAAGACATATTGTTTAAACCAGTGGTAGTCAACCTGGTCCCTACCGCCCAGTAGTGGGCATTCCAGCTTTCATGGTGGGCAGTAGGGGTTTTGTCCCCTACTTTATAAATCACCATTACTGTGGAACCGGTGGGTGGTTAGAAAATTTTACTACTGAGATACAAAAGTGGGTGGTATGTATAAAAAGGTTGACTACCCCTGGTTTAAACTAAAGGCCTTTGATGGTCCAAAAGTTATCATCTACATCATTTCTGATATTTCACAGGGAATAAAGGTTATTATAAATATTTTTGTATAATAATGTCAGTAATACTTTATTTACTTTAAACATAATTCAGTTTAAATTAATTACATGTCCTGTCTTTATCTACATTCGAAAATGTAAAGGTCCAGTGGGAGGGAGGGAGGCAGGGAAAGAAAGAAGGAATCTTCCTTAATGTGTGGCTTTAAAACTAATGAATACCTTGACTTCCGGTTTGAAGGGCTTTGGCAACAGACAGAAATCTGCAACCCTGCGCGGTTTCTGTCTGGGCTCGCCACTGGAGTGCCCCGAGCTGGCTGGTTTTGGGGCTAAGCCACCCCGTAGAGGTGGTGAAGAGGGGGGAGACTGCCAGCAGGGTTGAGGAGAGCCGCATCTCTCCTTCTCAGCTGGCCATTACTCCCTTTCCTGAAGGCGGTTGCAGCGGTGGTCAGAAATGGCCACCACAAAGAAGAACTCAACCGGAAAAGAATGTGCAGGAGGAAGATAAGAAGTGAAAGTTTTGGCTGACTGGGTTAAATTGTAAAAGCAACAACCAAGGTACCCTGGAATTTAAACTTATAAAAAATAACATCGCTCCCAAAGAAGAGTCGGAAGCAGTGAAAGAAAGTGAAAAGGGAAAGGTTTGGCTTTTCCCCCCCTTCTCTCTCCTTCCCTATACTGACAACTAAGAGACTTAAATAAGAAATCGGAAAAATCCGCTTTGACATCAATAGGTAATTAAGCTGAAAATAAAACAAAATGCCAAAGGGATAATAAAGATTTCTGGACATTAAAAACTTTCTTTTTCATAAGCAGGAAGGGAGAGAAAAAGAATAAGGGCAGGATCTGGAAGAGGGAGGAGACTGCCTGGAATTAAAAAGAATCTAAAGTAAAACTTCAACAAGACTTCTAAAAGATACATTTTAACTGAAACTTTGCAACTAAATAGTAACCCCAGGAAGAGAAAGTGAAAAAAAGCAAAAAAGAAACAGCTTGCATGTATTTGGATTATTTGGTGATCTTTGGATTTTTGGTTATTATATTTGAATGACTAAAATCAATCGGGTGGTTGTTTAAAACTGTTTAAAATGACTCCACTTTTAGAAGAACTGAAAATGGAACTTAAAAAGTACAAAGAAGATGCACAAGAAGGGAAGGGTTCTTTTGGCTTCATTTTTCAATTCTTAGAAATGGAGATTTGGAACCATGAGAAACAACAAGAAAAGACTGCAAAACAAGAAGACTGGGACAAAGAAGAAGCCATCTTTAATGAACAAGTCATTCTATGTGGGGAAGAAAAAGGAAAGTGGGGGAAAGAGAATGGAGAATTTAAGACTTAAAAAAACAACCAAAGAAAAGAAAAATAATTCGAAAAATAAGTATAATACTGGAAAGCAACAGAAAGGGGAATACAGAAGAGAGAAATAGAGGTAGAGAGACAAGGGGGTAAAAAGGGGAGAGAGAAGAAGAGAGGGAAGAAGGAAAGGAAAAGAAGTTACAAAGGACTGGAGCAAGATATAGAGAAACAGGACCTATTTAGAGATAATGGGTGAAAATTTAACTGAAAAAGGGATTCTGTAAAGGTACATAAGATTGTATTGTTATATTAGTAATATAACAATAACAAACTTTAGAAAATTGGAAACAACGTATGATTAAAATGAGGAATAAAATAGTTAGTGTAATTTAGTGAAATGTTTGTAAATAAAATAAGTGAAATAAAATAAACGAGAAAATTGAATTAGGAAGGAACGGGAACATTTTAATTAGTTAATGTTTTATAAAATATAAGTGAAGGGGGGGAAATTAACTATGGAAAGCTTATAATTGTTCCCATAGAAGTATGATATTTAATTGAAAAGTAATGTTAAAGATGTTAAGACTTTAATGAATATTAATATTAATGATAGAATTGAATTGGAATGGAATGTTGTTTTAATTATATACATTTATATATTTTTTCTTTTTTTAAGAATACAGTCTGTATTTTAAGAATGTACCAAGCAGAATCCGAATGGAAGTTATGTATTATATTGAATGTTACAACTTTAGGGAAAAGATATAAAGGCGTCATACTCCAATCAGTAATTACAGGAAAAATTTTGTTTAATGAGAAAAGATAATATATAATTGAAACAGGACAGACAAAAAATATAAATATAATGATTTGAATTGAGATGAGATAATTAAAATAAAATTGAGAAAATTAAAAGAGGGGAGAAGCTATGCAGAAAATGTAAAATAGTAATAAGAATATAAAAATGAGAATGAACCTAAATTTGTGTCTGTACGAAGAAATGTAACCCGGGATTATGCTGCTTTCAAAAAAGATGTTTTATTTGTATTTTTTTTCTCTTTGTGAAAACTCAAATAAAATTTACAAAAAAACAATAACTAATGAATACCTTGAGCCCAGGACCCTAGTGCATATTCACATGGCTGGCTTCCAGCACTTTTTTTAAAATTTTTATTGGTTTTTAAAAACAAACATAAACAAACAAAACATAAAAACATCAAGCCATCTTCCATATGTGTGCATACAGGGTGCCGGTTGGTTTACAAATTGTTTTGTGCTTCCATTTCATAGTCTTCCATTACAATTACAGTGCATATAATCTCATATTTTCAATCAAAAATTAAATACCTTAGTATCATTATTAATCAATCATTTGACTATACTTTTATTCATTCATGTTTTACAAGATAATAATAATTTACTTAGTTTGTTTTATAACAGTTCATATTATCACCCCAAATCTATCCTAAAATCATTTTGTAGATATAATAAGAAAGAAGTACATCTTTATATATTTATTATTTTCTAAAAGTCTACATATTTCATTACTGTATTTTATTATCTAACCATTGATAGAATAGATCTCAAATTTTATAAAATTGTTTATCCTCTTGTTCTCTAATTTCAAATGTCAATCTACTCATTTCAGCACATTCCAATATTCTCTTAATTATTTTCTCCTGTGATGGTATTTTCTCATTTTTCCAGTTTTTAGCAAATACAATCCTAGCCGCTGTTAATACATTTACAATCAGGTATTTCAAGTCTTTACTATATATTTCAGGTAAAATTCCCAATAAAAATATCTCTGGTTTCAAGTCTATATGTTTTTTTATCATTTTTTCCAATCACATGTGGATTTTAGTCCAGTATTTTTTAGCATCCACACAAGTCCACCACATATGGCAATATGAGCCGGGTGTCTGATGACATTACCAACATTTTTCGGATTTATTCTTGAACATTCTTGCTATTCTTGTCGGGGGAAAATGCTACCTGTAAAACATCTTATACAAATTTTCTTTATATGCTGTTGACATATTCATTTTATAATTTTGAAAGCACAATTTTTGACATTTCTCTAAATCGATCCCATATCCAAAATTCTTCCCCCAAGCAATCATAGTTTCTTTAATTTGTTCTTCTTCTAATTTAATTTCTAATAAATATCCATACAATTTTTTAATCACCTTTTCATCAGTACCTGTCAAAATCTTATCTAAATCAGTCAATTTATCATAGAAACCTTCCATTTTAGAATCTTTATCATACCTTGAATGTATTTGCACATATGAAAACCAATTCATCTTTATACCTTGTTCCTCTAGTTTTTGTATAGATTTGAGTTCACCCTTTTCATTCAATATTTCACCATATCTAACTGTTTGTTCCTTTTTGTATATTATAGGATAAGAAAATTCTTCAATAGTCGATAGCCAGACTGGAATTTTCAAATAACATTGTCTTTTAATCTTCTCCCAGTTTAACCACAGAGACTCCTGTATATAATGTCTTCTAAAATACCCGTGTTTTAGTTCCTTTATACCATAAAAAGCATGCCACCCCAACAACAAATCATGTCCTTCTAATGTCAACAATCTAGTATTTCTTAGTGTTATCCATTCCTTAACCCACATCAGATTTGTAGCTTGATAGTACAACTCCCAATTAGGCAAACCAAATCCTCCTCTAATTCTAGCATCTTGCAAAAGTTTTAACTTTATTTTCGCTTTCTTACCTTGCCATATATATTTCAACACAATTTTATTTAAATCTTCAAAGTAATCTTTACCAAGCCTAATTGGAATTGTTTGAAACAAATATAAAATTCTGGGTAATATATTCATCTTGATTGTTGAAATTCTCCCT